GAAGTAAAAAAAAACCTGACTTACATGCTGTCTTATCCACAGTCTGTGAGTATGTAAAGGAGGGGTTGGCTGGCTGACCAATCCCATTGATCCTATCCATACAGATAAGAAGTGTGTTGCTTCAAGGTTTCCACTGTACTACAGAGGACTCACATTCAGTGTGTATTGCCTCTGTCTGCCTCTCACATACACAACAGTGGGAAATACCAAGAAGGCTACTGCAGGCCCTTATCACACACAGAAGTATCAGAAAACAGTTCCTCCTCTGCACAGCTGCACAAACACATAATCAAGTATCAAGTTCCCATAAGGCATAGTAACAAATTCCATGAGCATGTAAAATGTCCACTGCATGGTTCCGCCTACAGTGTTTTCAGTCGCTAGCACACTAAAATGACACATTTGGCACAATTAAACAAAAACTGACACTCAGGGAGCAAAAATTCAGCTAATCTCACCAAAACTATAAACACATTTTCTGCTTTGAAACCATGTTGTAATTTAACCTAACACTCAAGCAATTGCTTCAAAACCATGTCACCAGCACTCAAAATCAAAGAATGCTTTCAGATCATACACAAATGAGTCAATCATATACACACTGCAGCTCAGTCATTAGGCACTACATCAAAAAAAGGAGAACACAGCATCCAGGACATGTAGTTACAACAAAAAAAGTTTATTGTATAGTGAATTTACCAAAAACCATGTTATGATCAAAAAAGAAGAAGAAAAACACATCAGAAAGATTATTCTGCCTCAGGATCATGTCTTTGAGCTGGGCCTGGCCAGAGGGCTTCATCTACGTTGCAGGCAATGTTGTCTCTTGCCAGGCAACGGGCAAAAAAACCCTCTGGTGTGGCGGATCCAGCCTTGACAAGACTACACATCTGTCTCACCACAGGCCAGTTCCATTGCCTGTAAGAGATTTTCCCTGGTATATGGGTTTCGGTCATAGACTTTCCACCGCCATGCAGAGAAAAACTCTTCTGTTGGGTTGAGGAAAGGGCTGTATGGTGGAAGGTCTTACTCTTCCTCATCCTTTTTGTCCAACACCTCTTATTCCTCTACCTCTCATATTGTTATCCATAGTTGATGGATGTACCCGTGCCATCTGTGCACTTTGAACTGGCTTATGATTTTTACCTTCTCATCACATAATTAGAAACAAGTGTGAACAATTTTGAATTGTTGTGTGTAAACAATGACAACTTTAGTTGTGTTTAAGTTCTGCTGTCCTCTGTTTAGTGTTTTGCAACACAGGTTCATCACAGTGCGAATGTGTTTTAATGAGTGAGAATGTGTTTAGAGTTTAGCAAAAAGAGTGCATGAGATTTGCTAACAGAGTCTAAGTGCCTGAACTTGTTTAAGGTTTTGCAGAAAGAGTGATTTATTCAACAAATTGGTTTAGGCTATTGAGAATCTGGTTCAGAAAATGGAGTTTATTGTTTTAGCAATTGTGAAAAACTGTAATCAGGTTGTTATGTGACAGGTAAATGGCCTGTTTACAGCAACAATAGAAGTTTAGCTAGTAGGTGGAGATAGAAGCCAGATAGAGGTAGAGGAGAAAAAGCTGGTGCCTCTTTTACAGGCAATGGAAGAGCCATGATGCTGCTGATGTGGTGGCGGCTGAGGCCTGAATACGACACTCGAGGCATTTCTCCCATCACAGCCCAGCTATGGAGGACACTGCATATGATGTTGGTGAGATGCTGTGGCCAGAGGGAGCTAGGCAGCATGATGCAGCCCATTTGTCCCATTCTTATGAATGTGATATCTCAGGAGTGCCTTGCTTGAGGGAATGTCTTCAAATTTGGCACAGGTGTCCACTTGGATGAACTTATTAGATTTTGGTCAAAGGTCAAGGTCACAGTGACCTCACTTCTGTTCCATTCTTGTGAATCTGACTGGTTGGCAGAGGCATACAACCACAACACTGTAATTCTAGTTGTTTTTTTAGTGCAACAGTACTTTTGATATATTGTGTTTGCACAACTATGATATCCACTGTGCTATGTGTATGTGTGCTATGTCAGTTAATGTGAATGAAGTGTGTGGCATTTGGTGCAAAAGTTTCACTTTTATAAGTGCATTGTAATTTTGTGTGTAGTGCTTAATTTTGCAGGGTGTGTGAGGTGTTTTGCACCTTCGGTGTGTGGTTCTTTAAATCGTGTTAAGTGTTTTGAGATGATGAGTCCTGTTGCCAAAACTGTGTAAGGTGTTTATTTTGGTAACATTGTCAGCCTAATATGGTCATGATTTTACCCTTGTAACATGATTTTAATTTGAGAGTAACTTGAGCTTTGTGTGACATTAGTAATAACCAGTGCATTATACTGGACTGATAAATTTACTCAATACTCAGGTAACACTAGCTGACTGCATTTTGTAGTTTGTCACAACCAGGCATCTGGAGTCCATCTTGTCACTGGAAACGGGACACGGTGGAGGGGCAAGAGCAGTTAGGAGCAGTTTATGGTGTCACTTTGTTTTGAGTCTCACAAGACACTCCAGCAGCTGAACAGAAATTAGGCAGAGTAGCTTAAAGATGTCCCAACTCAAGGCTGAGGACCCAGAGGCAGACTACCAGCTGTTCATAGTGTAACGAGTCTTTCCCCCACTTGTTGTCACAGCCACCATTTTCCAAATAAGCACATCCATATAGTACAAACAAAAGGTCAAAACTAAAATCTTGCTGAGCCCAGGTAAAAGTCTGACAGAAAACATTAAATTAAAACATCTTATAAACATAAGTTTACCAACAGAGAGGAAACACATGGTGGAGGTTCAAGTTGAATAACCTCTCTTCCATAGGTTTGCACGGTAAAGTAAATAACAATGAAGTGTAACTCCTCACAGATAGAAGAGACCAGAGGTCATTAAAGTTTTTCACAGACTAGATAACACAGGTAACTCAAAATCCCTTCACAGGTATGGAAGACTTCAATATTCTTCTTAGGTTTACAAAGTTTAAGTTTTCTTCAGTAATTACAAACTTGAACGGTCTTCTTGTGTTAACAAGGGGTTAACTTAAACTTTCTTCACAGGGTTAGAGATGAGTAACTGAATTATCTCAGAGGGATGGGCTGGCAAACAGAAGCAGCACGTGAAACACAAAACAGTGCAGTACAAAGAAAAAAGGTGTCTTTAAACAAGGCCTTGATTAATGGACAGAGTCTTTTTCAGGTCAGAGCATAAACATGAACAAGTTTCTACAAACATGCCAACTTGGAAACAGATGAGGAAGCAGGCTTGCCTTGATTAAGGTCATGGCAGGCTTGGCGTGAGTGAGTAGAAGCAGCCAAAGAGGGGAGGAGACACAGGAGTATGGTGATGACTTGAAGACAGAATACCAGAGTACAGGTGAAAATCCAGAGCTGATGAGACATGAGTTGAGATTTGATGAAGGAGATGACCAGAAATGACAGGAGATGCGCATGAGAGATTTATGACACCATGACAATGAACTGAGAGAGGTGAGGTGAATATGAAGGCAGGCCAGGCAGAGACTATGGGGAACAGATAAGAGTAATTGAGGTCAATCAAAGGGCAGTGTAAAGCTGGGGCTGGTGAGGGTGGCATGAGATGGGAAATTGCTTCAAAATAAAAGACCAAAACAGGAAACAGCTAGGGAATTATGACAAAAGGGTCGTATAGAGTCATGTTTTTATGATGCCTATAGCACACAGACAGAAGAAGCATTCCAGCCACAGTGGCCAGGACTATTGAAAATTTCATATACCTACTCAGTTCTCTTAAAGGTGTGTTTAAGAGAAGAGTGGGTTTAATTTTATTTGTAGAATAAAAAGTCGATACCACAACAGCTTCAGAACAGGGATGGTGCTGATCTGTATCATAATTTGGATACTAAATATTTTAAAAAATTATTCACCATCGTGAGTGCTTGGCTGTCCCTGGTAGGCTAGTGGTTAAGGTGCAGTACTCTCGCCACGGCGCCCCAGGTTCGAATCCAGGTTGCTTCAGGAAGGGCATCCGATGTAAAACATGTGCCAAATGTCAACATGTGAGTTGTCAGTGTGACAATTCGCTGTGGCGACCCCTAAACGGGAAAAAGCCAAAAGTGACTTTAATCACCATTGTGAGTGCCGGAAAGCCTCTTGCCAAAGTGCACATCTACATCTGGTTCAGGGCACAGTAGTCTGTTGGTGAGGACGCTGGTGTTCCAGCTGCACATTATAGCTGCAGTACCACTGTCAGAACCTAACAAGTGGTACACCCTGTGCTTCCCTTAACCATCACTGGCATAACCTCAGAGGTTGGTGCAGACCGACCTACTTTACTCTACTGTATTTTGTGCTCAATTCCAAATGCCAGCAGTCAATTTTTTTTGGTCAAGCGTTCATATGAGGGGTCAAACTGTCATGGAAATATTGCTTTTATGGCATTATGGGGGACGGGGTGGAGGTCTACATTATCTGAATGCTGTGTTGTTACCGTAATGACATGATGCTCTTATTGACAGCAGAAAGAATTATATGACAGTAAGGGGCGATTGTGGTACAGTGGGTAGAGCAGTCATTTCCCAACCAGAGGTTCGAATCATGTGTTGAAGTGTCCTTGGGCAAGACACTGAACCCTCAAGTTGCTTCCGATGGTTAGAGCCATCGGTTGAGTTGGCTCCACAGATGGCTGCCTCGGTTCTGTACTGGAAACATATTCCTTGTGTGTAACATACTTGGCCAAAAAAAGGTGATTATTTTTTGAGAAAAAAAAAAGAAAAAGAATCTCCAGCTGGAATTACAGCAGGGATGTTGGGGTTATATGGTACACATCTTAATCACTGAGCAACCAACGCATCTAGCTAAAAACTAATTTAATGACCATCCACTTTTCTTAAAATTATAGCTTCAAACTAGTGATATAATTGCATTGACATTCACTGAATTTACTTTCCTCTAATCTAAAATCTTCCCCGGGTGTTCCTCCAATAACTAGATTTCAGGGGTTTGTTGCATCAGCTTGTTGCATGAAATTTATGTTTTTCGATATTTGTGCATGTGTGTATATAGAACTGAGAAGAGTTAGCAAGAAGTGGGAGTTTGCCTCTTAACGAACAATCAGTGTGCAAGATAAAAGAGTGCCTCCTCTTCTTTGATGCTGGGATATTAAGATTTTATTATCATATGCCTGTGTGGGATTGAACTGATTAAACATGAATGATTGTGAGGCACAGTGCCTTGTTTGTGTTTTGTCTCTCATGGGACAGTCCGGGCTAGTTTGCATTTAGATGACAGCCTGAGGCAAGTTGTCCCACAAGACTTGAAAGGTAAAGATATTATTTTGCTTTCTCTAGTTGGCTGTTGTGTCAGTATCATTTGTAAACCAGGTGAATAGTCATTTTCTTCAGAGTTCAAATATTTCAATTCTCTCATCTTTTTAATTAAACTGACATGGCATATATTTTCCATTACAGAAGGAAACTAAAGGGTTCTTCCTTTTTTGAGGTTGTAGATTATTGGGTTTTTTATGCTTTATGGCCAGTATTGGGAAATAACTAGTTCCATGTAACTAGTTATTTCCCAACACTGCTTATGTTTTTGGGTTCTTTCATTCAGCTTATATTCATGAACATGATATTCAAGGAATATCATTGTTCAACGCTTGACCAAAAGAAATTTGTTCAAATGTGGCAGAAATGTCCACTTGGACCCAAATATAAACCAATTAGATTTTGGTGGTCACACATCAAAGGTCAAGGTCAGAGCGACCTTATGGCTGTTCCATTCCTGTGAATTTGACTAGTTGGTGGAGGAATACAACCGTGAAGTGGTAACTTGTTTGTTTTTTGTGACATCAAATATGAAGCCACAGAGAAACCCCCTCACACGAACTGCCCCAGAGCACCCCCAGGTTGGTCAGGGTGTCATTGATGGAAGTCCCGGATGAGGGAAGGGTCGACGATGTGGCGAGAAGGGACCCACGACCATTCCTCGGGTCCATAGCCTTCCCAGTCCACCAGGTATTGAACACCCCGGCCCCGATGTCTGGACCGCAGAAGACGGCATACTGCGTAAACCAGATTGCCGTCAAAGAGCTGGGGCGGAGGGTCTGGGGGAGGAGCCAACGAGCTAGAGCTGACAGGTTTGACCCTGGACACATGGAAAGAAGGGTGAGCACGCAAGGTACGAGGCAGTTGAAGCCTTACCGCCCCGGGACCAAGCCATTGGAAACAGTCCCACAAAGCATGGTGCCAGCTTATGACATTCTGTATGGAGGGGCAGGTCCCAAGTGGAGAACCACACCTTCTGCCCAAGTTTGTACTGGGGGGTCCTGGAGCGGTAAATGTTGGCCCACTTGGCGTAGGACTGGACTATCTAGAGGAGAACCATGCGGGCCCTTCTCCAAGTCCAATGACATCGGCGCACCAGAGCAGAGGCGGCTGGGATCCGGATTTCAGGGTCCAGGCTGGGGAACAATAACCGTAATTGCACTCAAATGGTGTCATTCCTGTGGCGGAAGAGGGAAGAGAATTGTGTGCATACTCTACCCAAATCACATTGTCCGCCCATTTGGACGTGTCCCGGCTGCACAGGAGCCACAGTCCAGTTTGTAACTGCTGGTTGAGTCTTTCTGCCTGGCCGTTGGTCTGGGGGTGGAACCCTGACGACATACTCACAGCAATGCCCAGGAGGTGACAGAACTCGGCCCAGAAGCGTTCCATAAACTGGGGTCCCCGGTCCGACACCATGTCCCTGGGCAGACCATGTAGGCAGATGACATGCTGAAGCAAGAGTTGTGCAGTTTCTTTGGCCAAAGGTAGCTTAGGTAGGGGAATGAAGTGAACCATTTTAGAGAAACGATCAACAACTGTGAGTATGGTGGTTTTACCTCTGGAGGGTGGCAGGCTGGTGATGAAGTCCAATACAATATGGGTCCAAGGTCTCGAGGGAATAGGAAGCGGGTGCTGTAGTCCAGAGGGTCTACCAGATGAGGTTTTTTTTGTTTGGCACAGTCTTGGCAGGCATTTACAAATTCTCTGACGCCCACCAGAACTGTCGTTGGATGATGTAGCAGGACCGGGCCCCCGGGTGGCAAGAGAACCTGGAAGCGTGGCACCATTGGAGTACTCGTGGTCTGACAGGCGCAGGTACGAACAACCATGGAGGGGCAAGGCTCAATAGTCTGGGCGGCCAATACCTCCTGCTTGATGCCAAGCTGCATGGTACCAAGGCGAGCGGCTTGTGGCAGAATGTAGGCGGGGTCCTGTATCTCCTTCTCTTCTTTGCTATGTTGTCTGGACAGAGCATCCGCTTTGCCATTCTTGCATCCTGGACGAAAGGAAAGGGAGAAGTCTTTTCGCCATCCTTAGGTATTCCATATTTTTGTGGTCAGTCCACACCAAAAATGGCAGTTGAGCCCCCTCCAGCCAGTGTTGCCATTCCTCCAAGGCCAGCTTGACCACCAGTAGCTCCCTCTCTCCAATGATGTAGTTACTCTCAGCCAGGGTGAGGCGCCTGGAGAAAAAAGCACAAGGGTGTAGTTTATTGTCAGTACTCAGGCTATGGGACAACACTGCCCCCACCCCGGTCTCAGAGGCATCCATTTTCACAATGAACTGCTTGGCGGGGTCGAGCAAGGTGAAAACTGGGGAGGTCGTGAACCGGCGCTTGAGTGAGTCGGGGGTTGTTACCAGGAAAGCAGTCCAATAAGAAGGGTGAGGCAGAATCTGGGGTCGATAGCAAAAGCAGGGTGTCGGTATTCAGATGATCAGGCAGAAAGAACGCTGGAGAGTTTAGTCGAGGCATAGAACAATCTGGCAGCTCCCCACAGAGTGAGGAGCTATATGCTGTGAGGAACAGGTGTGACTGATGAAGTAGAAGGTGAAACTAATCTGAATAATGACATGAAGTTCCCAGAATGCAGGGTGAGCTGGGGACAGGAAGCAGTAAAGAATAAGAGCATATTTGCGGGAAGTGAACGGGGCGGAAACATGACACTGTTCTTCAGTTTTGCTATGTAGGATATGAAAACTTTGAGCCTCAATATTTCAAAACTTGATTGCACAAAATGCAAGTATTCTTTTAATGTTTTACAGCTGTTGTGCTGAAAATCATTTGATGCATCAAAATAGGCACTGTAATGGTGGATCAGGTTACTCTGATGCACGTTTTGAACACCCACCTGAGGAACCACGATTTAAATGTATAAAAACAGCATCTCTGCTTGTGTATAGCTGTTATCTGTGGTTGGATTCT